TCCCACTCTCAAATTCTATGGTTGTGTCAGATATGTAGGATGATCTGCTGTCTCTGCCATGGAGATCCCTTCAGGAGGCTTCCCACCTGGTAGTGCAAGTGAAGGAAGCTATCTGTAAGATAGGCAGAGCACACTGAAAAACACTTATTGAGCACTTATTATATACCAGGTAACAATGATACATAGTTGAGGATAAATATGGTTGCTCCCTTCAAGAAACACACACTCTAGTGAGGGATACAGAAAACAAATGGTTGTGAAGGATATATATTACTGAATATTTTAACCACAGGAGTAAACAAAGGTTGCTATGGGAAGAGAGAGAGAGGATGTGTAACTTTGCCTGGGGGTTGGAAATGGCAAGGGAAAGCTTCTTTGAGGAGGTATTCCCTGGTCTGAGTTCCTTGGCATGGTAATGTCTGAAAAGCAAAGGGGATGAAGAATGTGGAAGGTTTCTCCTGCCATGTCAGCATTTGACCAGCACTTCTGCCTCCTTGAGAAGTCAGAAGTTTATGCCAGTACCAGGGATCTGATGTGGAGCTTGGAAAGCTGAACTACTGTATAAACTTTTGTGCTCTTCTTCCTCATCTGTGTGAGAAAGCTCACTTTTTATTAAATCTTCCCTCAAAAGGCATATACTGGAAACAGGAAAAGGCCTAAGCTTCATCACCAATTTTTTTTCCTTAACCCATTGTGCAAACTCTGAGCTCATACACTCTGGTTCATACTTCTTCATATCATAGGGTTTCAGTTTATCTGTGGTAAAAAAAGCAATCAGAAGTGTTGTTCCATTGTCACTGGATAAATTCCAGAGCCTAGAAAAGTCTTCAGGTGACCAGCTCCTTTTCCTTCAAGATGATGAGACAGATAAGAATGCATGGACAAAGCCAAAGGCAGGTAGGATCAAGGGTGGGAAGTGGGGAAGGCTGAGGAGGTGGGGAATGGTGGGGGGGAAATGGAGACAACTGTACTAGAACAACAACAAAAATGTGAAAAAAACTTTAAAAACAGAATACATTCCACTGAAGGGAATTTCTAAACTTAAATGATTTTTTTTTGTTTCTAAACCCTCTCTCTCACTGTCAGAATATTCTGTTTTCCTCTTTAAATGCTTCCTTTTTTTTAAAAAAAAGTGTATTTTATTGATTACCTTATTATAGTTATCCCATTTTTTCCTCCCTTTTACCCACCTCTGCCCTGCGCCCCCTTCACATGAGAATCCCCCACCTCTTAGTTCATGTCCGTGGGTCATACCCATTAAGTTCTTTGGCTTTTCCACTTCCTATACTATGCTTAACTTCCCCCTGTCAATTTTATACCTATCATTTGTGCTTCTTATTCTCTGTACTTTTTCCCCCAATCTCCCTTCTCCTCCTCCCCACTGATAACCCTCCATGTGATCTCCATTTCTGTGATTCTATTCCTGTGCTAGTTGTTTGCTTACTTTGTTTTTGTAATTTTAGGTTCACCTGATAGTTGTGAGTTTATTGTCATCTTACTATTCATAGTTTTGATCTTTTTCTTAAATAAGTCCCTTTAACATTGCATATAATAAGGACTTGGTGGTGATGAACTCCTTTAACTTGTCCTTATCTGGGAAAAACTTTATCTGCCCTTGCATTCTAAATGAGAGATCTGCTGGATAGAGTAATCTTGGATGTAGGTCCTTGCCTTTCATGACTTTAACTACTTGTTCCAGCCCCTTCTTGCCTGTAAGGTTTCTTTTGAGAAATCAGCTGATAGTCTTATGAGAACTCCTTTGTAGGTAACTGTCTCTTTCTCTTGATGCTTTTAAGATTCTCTCCTCTTTAATCTTGGGAAATTTAATTATGATGTGTCTTGGTGTGTTTCTCCTTGGGTCCAGATTCTCTGTGACTCTCTGAGCTTCATGGACTTCCTGGACTTCCTGGGAGTCTATTTCCTTTGCCCAGTTGGGGAAATTATTCATTATTTGTTCAAATAAGTTTTCAATTTCTTGCTCTTCCTCTTCTTGCACCCCTATGATTCAGATGTTGGAATTTTTGAAGTTGCCTCAGGAGTTCCTAAGTCTCTCCTCACTTTTTAAAATTCTTGTTTCTTCATTCTGTTCTGGTTGAATATTTCTTTCTTCCTTCTATTCCAAATTGTTGATTTGAGTGATGGTTTCCTTCCCTTCACTGTTGATTCCCTGTATGTTTTTCTTTATTTCCCCTTGCATAGCCTTCACTTTTTGCTCTATTTTGCAACCATACTCAACCATTTCTGTGAGCATCCTGATTACTAGTGTCGTGAATGGTGCATCTGATAGGTTGGTTATCTCTTCATTGCTGAGTTCTATTTTTGGAGATTTGATCTGTTTTTTATTTTTTGATATTTTAAAAAAGCATTTAATTTATTTATTTTAGACAGAGGGGAAGGAAAGGAGAAAGAGAGGGAGAGAAACATAAATGTGTGGCTGCTTCTCGTGCATCCCATACTGGGGACCTGAACTGACCACAACGCAGGCATGTGCCCTGACTGGGAATCAAACTGTCGACCCTTTGGTTTGCAGGCAGGTGCTCCGTCCACTGAACCAAACCAGCCAGGGCTTGATCTGCTCTTTCATTTTGGCCATCTTGCTTTGTCTTGGTACTCCTGTACCTTACATTGTAAGTGGTGGAGCTTAGGTATTCACCAGGGTAGGTCAACCCACATCACTGTATTGAGGCATGGTATGTGGGGGAGGGTTACAAGAGAGGACAATGCCACTCGCTCTGCTTTTGGCCAGCTTTCAGTCACTTCCCTACTACCCACAAGAAAATTGCATCTTTCTGGTGCTGTTTCTGGGTGGGTGGGCTTGTATGTGTTCTAGGACCCTGTGGGTCTCTTCAACAAACTGTCCTGTGAGGCTGGGAGCTTTTGCTATCACAGGTTTTTACAGCCAGAGGTTTTGAGGCTTTCTTTTCCCACACTTGAACTCTGGATTGCCCGGTCTGTCACTCCCCAGTTATTCCTCCTGGTTTATCTGCATGCAAATGCAGGACCTCCTTGTCTGCCAGCCAGTACCTCACCTGCTATTTCACCAGCCACAGCCTTATCTCCTGTCCTCTCTACCCTGCCTGCCCATCTCCACCCTTTCTACCAATCTGGATGAATGTTTTCTCTTTAACTCCTTGGTTGAAAGACTTCCACACAGTTCAATTTTCTGTCAGTTCTTGTTTTTTTTTTGTTTGTTTGTTTTTAAATTTGTTCTTGTCCTTTTGGTTGTGCAAGGAGACAGTGTATCTACCTATGCCTCCATTTGGCTAGAAGTAAAGGCCTAAATGCTTTTTGCTATTTCTTAAAGTCTTTGTGTTTTTCTCTGGCTTCATTGAGTATGAAAACCTGGTTGCCATGTTGCAGGCATGCTTAGAGAAAACATTGAAGTTTTCCTCCAAAGGGTTCATCTGAAGGCAACATGGGCTTATTATCCTCTCAGAGTGTATATGGAATTTTCATCTTTGAGGAAAAATAAATAAAGGTGAAGTCAGAAATCCCTTCGGTGGTCTGCCTTTCACTGTCCAGCTGAGCTCCAAAGCTCTGAAATCTATAAATATGCCATTCATTCATCACTGATTAAACATCTGCTCTCTAGAGGTTGTGTTATGTGTTAGTTTCTGCATCCACATTTGTGGCAGGAGACCATTCCATGATCTCTGGTGTAGCAGTCAAGTATAGTGTTCTTGTAATTAGGCTCTCTTTGTTGTAAGTAGGAGACCCACTTGAGATATCTCAGTGAAAATAGTTTATTATAACATAAGGAATGTGGACCACAAAAGCCATTGGGAAGCAGTGAATTCTCTCTTGCTCTTTCATGTGCAGCATGGAGTTTTTCTTCATGGCATGTCTTCTTCATGCTGCTATATTATATCCCTCTACCAGGCAGTTTTCTCAGCCTACCTAAAAGTTATGTGTACTCATAACTTTAGATTGAACTTGGCTTTAGCTTGACACAGACTTGATTCTACCTCCTGGTATTTTTTCTTAACTCATTCTCTATCTGATAACTAATTCAGCATTTCTGTGTTTCTTGATTAAAACTTTCAGAAACAAGAGTCTGGCCCATATCATGTCTTCATGCCAGGTTATGATGCCATCCATTACTGGCCAGCCAATAAATTCTGTTTATTTGTGTCAGATGCCAATGCTAGGTCCAATTCACTGTCACCAAAGGCATGGTGTGGGGAGTTCAGAGGTTATAAAATGTAAACCTAGGCAGCAGCAAGAGGTGTAGATGAGGCAGTTTTTCTTAGAAGGCAGTGTTGTCAAGTACCAGACTTGTATTTATGGTTGGAAGGGTAAGGTTATCATTAAGATTCCCACAAAGTTTCCCAGTGACTAAATGATCTAAACAAAATGAAGATGAAGACTAGGGGCACAGTGGAAGGTACTGGAAGCTAAAGAAAGAAGGCATGTTTAGAATTAATTTGGAATGATTTCTCAGAAGAAAAAAAAGTGTTTTTGGAAGAGGGAGTGTGGTGTTCAGGCCTTCACCAGGAAAAGCCTATGCAACATGTATGCTCTCTGCAGATCTCAGTCTGGCAGCTGATTCCAAGTTACAGAAATCATGACTTACCTTAAACTACTATGGACCTACTTGACTCTTAGAAAAGGCTGACATTTTAGGAAACAGTTGTGGTCTCTATATTGTGATTCTTTGTAAATCAGACAAAGATAGAAGTCTGGTTGGAGAGGCCACCTTAACTTTGTAAATCATTGTCAAAAACATTTCAGCTATAAAAATGACATTGTCCTGTCTCAATTCCTAATACTTCCTTTTATGAGTTGTCCCCTCTACTACCTACTACAACTCACCACCTATGACATGGCAAAGAAATTCTACTGAGTTTTTAGTATTATAGACATTTAGGGTGAAAGGGGAGAGCTAAACTCTGAGTAGAGGAAGCAGAACTTGAGCTGAGCTTATCCAGAGGGAATGTTGGGGTGACAGAAGACCTATTATGTTTTTCTACCTGTGTGTATGTTTTTTGTTTTTTTTTCAGGGCTGCTGATAAGCTCAGGCTGTGCATTATATCCCTTAGGATGGAATAGCCCAGAGATAATGCAAACATGTGGGAATGTCTCCAATCAATTTCAGTTAGGTAAGGTGACTGGCAGGATGGCAGTGTCAGTTCATCTGTTTTTCAAATTACCTCTTAAATGAGCCTCTGCTTGCTAGTGGTGCTTTCCTGTGTCTCTCTCACTGTTACCTTGTAAGAAGTAGTGGCTTGGCCAGATTCATCTGGCCTTGCTAACCTACAAGGGGTGGACATAAATTTCACTTCCTTAACTATTTCTCTCCACATCCTTTATATATTTTTACCCAGAGTCCTGTGACCAGTTTGTGTCAACACTATGTACAGAGAGATTTCAAATGCTTGTAGAGTAATTATCTGCCGCCCTCCATATAAACACTAGATCCTGTTATTATTTTCTTCTAGGCACTGTTTTCTAAATATAAATCAATAGTATCTCTTCTCACTCTCCACTGAAGATATAACAAGGGTAATTTAGTTTGCATCATCAATTAGGAACATAGGTTAAGTATTGGGAATTGCTACTGGCATATTAATTGCAAGAACTGTTAAATATAAGGAGTGACAGAAGTAGCTCTGGACTCTTCCATGATTGCCAATTCTAAGTGAGAATGCCTTAAATCCAGTATTGTGAATTGGGAATAGATTAGACGCTAACTGAAAGACTTCAAAATATTTTCCTGACCTACCACGATAGAAGAGAGTTAGAAGGGAAATGTCTAATCTTCCTTGAATATTCTCATTTGTAGGAGAGAACTTTGGAACAATGAGGCAACCCATCTCCTATAGTTTATGCCCCATTACTTCCATTGATCTCTGTTGCCTCAGATTGTTTTTTATCTCACCTGACCAATTTTGGGAAGAAGGAGTTGTTCACTGGACAAACATAACATGAGGGAAGGGCTATAAAGAAGATAGGACAAGTGTGTAAGCAAGCTACTGGTCCTGCTAGCTGGAGTAGAGAAAAATAAAGATTTAGCACATTTTTCCTACTTTGTTGTTAGACCTATAATTCTACTTTAAAAAACAGGTTTATTGATATATAATTCACATTCCATAGAATTTTCCCCTTTAAAGTGTACAATTAGTGGTTTTCAGTATATTCACAAGGTTGTGCAATCATCACTACTATTTGATTTCAGAATATTTTCATAACCCAAAGAGAAACCTCTTACCCATTCACAGTCACTCTCAATTTCCTCCTGAGCTCAGTCCCCAGCAACTACTATATAGATTTATTTATTCTAAACATTTCATATAAATGAAATCATGTAATATGTGGCTTTTGTGTTTGGCTTCTTTTACTTAGAATAATGTTTTCAAAGTTCATCCACATTGTAGCATGTGTCAGCACTTCTGCTTTTCATGGCTGGATAATATTTCATTGTATGGATATAACTCATTTATCCAGTTATCAGTTGATAGATTTTGGGTTTCTCCATTTTTCACTATTATGAATAATAATAGTGCTATGAATATTTGTGTACACATTTTTGTATGCATACATTGTTTTATTTCTCTTGTGTATGTATCTAGATTCAGAATTTCTGAGTCAAATGGTGACTCTATGTTTAAGCCTTTGAGAAATTGCCAGGCTATTTTCCAAAGTGACTGCATCACTTTACATATCTACCAGAAATCTCCAAGTGTTCCAATTTCCCCAATATTTACCAGCATTTATTTTCCATTTTTTAAATTATAGCTATCCTGGTGAGTGTGAACTGATAGCATGTTGTGCTTTTAATTTGCATTTTCCTGATTACTCATGGTGTTGAACATCTTTTTATATACTTATTGGCTATTTCTTTTCTGTAATTTTTGGGTATTTTTAATTTCTTTATTTTAAAAAAACATTGTTGTTTTATTACAGTCATCCCAATTTTCCCCCACTGCTCTCCCCTGACCCACCCAACCCCCACTGCCACACTCAATCCTCACCCTGTTATCCATGTCCATGGATACTTGTTCTTTTCTATGTCTTCTTTAAAGAAATGTCTATTCAAATTATTTGCCTATATTTAACTCAGTTATTTGCCTTGTTTTGTTATCTGTAAGAGTTCCTTCTGTATTCTGGATAGTAGACTATTTTGAGATGTATGATTTACAAATATTTTTTTTCTCATTCTGTGGCTTGTATTTTCACTTCTTTGATGACATTCTTTAAAGTACAAAATTATTTAATATTGATGAAATCAAATTTTATCTATTTTTTAAATTTTGTTGATTGTGCTTTTGATGTCACATCTAAGCATATATTGTCAAATCCAAGGACACACGAGGACTGTTTTGGCTAATCTTGCATTTTCATGTGAATTTGAAGTTCATCTGGTGATGAACTTCATCTAATGAATTTTTTAGTGGATTTCTTAGAATATATTTTATTTCAATTTTCATACATTTTAATATCAGTTAAACGTTCATCTGGTGATGAACTTCATCAAGATGAACTTCACAAGATGAACTTCATTTTGTGATTTGAAAATCACAAGAGCCACTTGGGATTTTGATAGAGATTTTGCTGAACCAATAGTTAGTTTGAGAATATTGCTACTTTAGCAATATTAGCTCTTTCCAGTCCGTGAGCATGAGATGATGCTCCATTGAGTTAGGTCATCTTTAATTTATTTTTATGATATTTTGTAACTTTCATTATAAAAACCTTGTTCTTTTTTTGTGAAATATATTCCTAAGTATTTTTATTGTTTTTAATGGTATTGTGAATGGACTTGTTCTTAATTTTGTTAATTTTATTTTGGATAGTTCATTGTTACTGTATAGAAATACAAATAATTTTTCTATATTGACCTTCTATTTTGCAACCTTGCTGAACTCATTTATCAATTCTAATGAATTTTTTAGTGGATTTCTTAGAATATATTTTATTTCAATTTTCATACATTTTAATATCAGTTAAACGTGGTCATGTTATAAATTAACATTTTACATAAATATAGTGATTTTTTCAGACAGTAAAACATCTTCCCATAAAATATGAGAATTTATATAAGAATATGAGAGCTTATATAAGAATTTATCTATTAACAGCATCCTAATAAAAATACATGTCAACAATAATTGAGAAAACACCCATTTAACAGTGTTTTATTTACACAAAAAGTTTTTTGTTGTTGTTAAATTATACTTGCCTCATTTATGCCCCATTACTCTCCCCTGACCTGCCTACATAATGATTTTAGAATCCTCAGCTCCCCATTGTCCTTTATACAGGTTCCTTAACTTGACCCTTCCCATTCTTTACCCTTTTATCCCCTCCTCCAGCCCCTCTGGTCACTGTAAGTTTGTTCTTTATTTCCACATCTCTGGTTCTATTCTGCTTACTTGCTTGTTTTGTTGATTAGGTCCACTTATAGATGAGATCATATGGTATTTGTCTTTCACTGCCTGGCTTATTTCACCTAGCATAATACTCTCCAGTTCCATCCATCCTTCTTTCTGCTGCATAGTGTTCCATTGTGTAAACATATCACGATTTTTAATCCACTCATTTACTGATGGGCACTTAGGCTGTTTCCATCACTTGGTTATTGTAAATAACACTGCTATGAACATTGGGGTGTATAGGCTCTTTTGATTGGTGTTTCAGGATACTTAGGGTGTAATATTAGCAGTGGGATTGATGGGTCAAAAGGAAGTTCCATTTTTAGTTTTCTGAGGAAATTCCATACTGATTTCCACAGTGGTGGCACAAGTCTGCGTTCCCACCAACAGTGTACTAGGGTTCCCTTTACTCCACAGCTTTGCCAGGAGTTGCTGACTGTTGATAGATTAATGATGGCCATTCTGGCTGCTGTGAAGTAGTATCCCATTGTGGTTTGAAATTGCATCTCTTGGATGGCTAGTGGTGTTGAACATCCTTTCATATGTCTCTGGGCCCTCTGTATGTCCTCCTTGGAGAAGTGTAGGTTCAGGTCCTTTGCCCATTTTTAAATTGGATTGTTTGTCTTCCTGGAGTGGAGTCATGTGAGTTCTTTATATATTTTGGAGACAAAACCCTTGTCTGAGGTATCATTGGCAAATACGTTTTCCCACACATTTGGTTCCCTTTTCATTTTGCTGATGTTTTCTTTAGCATTGCAGAAACCTTTTAGTTTGATGTAGTCGCATTTGTTTATTGTTTCCTTTATATACCTTGTTCAAGGGGATGTATTAGTGAAAATATCATTGAGTGGACTATATGAAATTTTCCTGCCTATGTTTTTGTCTAGGACTTTTATGGTATCATGACTTACGTTTATGTCTTTTAACCATCTTGAGTTTATTTGGGTGAGTGGTATAATTTAGTGGTCTAGTTTCATTTTTGCATGTATTTGTCCAGATCTCCAAACACCATTTATTGAAGAAGTTATTTTCACTGCATTTTATGCTTGTGCCCCCTTTTCCAAATATTAATTGGCCATAGAGACTTGAGTTTCTTTCTTGGCTCTTTATTCTGTTCCATTGGTCTATGTGTCTGTTCTTATATCAGTAACAGACTGTTTTGATTACAATGACCTTATAATATAGTTTGATATCAGGTATTGTGACCCCTTCTACTTTGTTCTTCTTTTTCAAAATTGCTGAGGGTATTTGGGGTCATTTATGGTTTCATATATTTTAGAAACATTTGTTATACATCTGTGAAATATGTCATTGGTATTTTCATAGGGGTTGTGTTGAATATATAAATTGCTTTGGGTATTATGGACATTTTGATGACGTTAATTCTTCTGATCCATGAACGTGGTATACTTCCATTTATTTGTGTCTTCCTTAATATCTTTCTTCAGCATTGTGTCATTTTCTGAGTACAGGTCTTTTGTGTCCTTGGTTAAATTTATTCCTTTTATTTTTGCTGTTGCTGTAGTAAATGGGATTTTTCCCCTAATTTCTGTTTTTCATATTTCATTGTTGGTGTACAAAAAGGCCTTTGATTTCTGAATATTGACTTTTTATCCTGCTGCTTTGCCAAATTCATTTATTAGGTCATATAATTTTTGAGATGGATTTTATAGCGTTTTCCATGTACACTACCATGTCATCTGCAAACATTGACACCTTTACTTACT